CGCCACCACCACCGCACTACCCCACCCACCACCACCACGCTACACCGCGTCACACCACATCACACGCGCGCACACACAGACACACACGCACGCACGCACACACACACACACACACACATACACACGCACACACACACACGCACACACACACACACACACACCACCACCGCCACCACCACCACCGCCATCACGCACGTACGCACCTGGCCCACCACCAAACCACCAAGACGCCACACCACGTCACACCACAGCACACGCGCACACACGCACACACACATACACATACCACCACAACAACCACAACCACGCACACACGCACGCACGCACGCGCACCACCACCCACTACGCACACGCGCGCGGAGCCACAGGTCCGCTACGACACGCGTCCGCGGATAGAGAAAATCAGCGCCATGGGAAGGGATGGGAGGGAGGGGTAGGATGTCAGATGTTGACGCGAGCGCACCTAACTTGATATGAATACTACTCTCCCTCTTCCCACGAAGGCGGCCTGAAAATATTCGACCCCCCCCCCGCGTACTGTTTTTTACACAGGATTCCCGGGAGTTGGATTTTCGCTTGCGTTTTTTTTCAAAAGGTTGCTCTCGCTGAGGCGCCGGCATCATTTCTGCTCCCGAATTGTTCCGAATCGTGCTCCCGCTGCAGCGTGGGCCTCATTTTCGGATCGGTGTTTTGCCTCCGTCGTTCAGGATGGCGTTCTCGCCCCAGCGCGGGCCTTTTTCTCGCGCGCCCATCCGCCCGCCACCACCGCGCCGCACCACGCCCCGCCCCGCCGCCGCACACCCACCGCCACTTCCACACACCAACGCACGCAACGCACGCACGCGCACCACCACCGCGCACCACCACCACCGCACTACCCCACCCACCACCACCACGCTACACCGCGTCACACCACATCACACGCGCGCACACACAGACACACACGCACGCACGCACACACTCACACACATACACACGCACACACACACACACCTGCACACACACACACACACCACACACCACCACCACCACCACCGCCATCACGCACGTACGCACCTGGCCCACCACCAAACCACCAAGACGCCACGCTACACCAACACCAAGACGCCACGCCAACGCTACACACCGCACACACACACACACACGCACACACACAGACACACACACACACACACACAACCACACACACACACACACACCACCACCGCCACCACCACCACCGCCATCACGCACATACGCACCTGACCCACCACCACCACGCTACACCACGTCACACCACAGCACACGCACACACACGCACACACACACACACACATACACACCACCACCACAACAACCACAACCACGCACACACGCACGCACGCACGCGCACCACCACCCACTACGCACACGCGCGCGGAGCCACATGTCCGCTACGACACGCGTCCGCGGATAGAGAAAAACAGCGCCATGGTAAGGGATGGGAGGGAGGGGTAGGATGTCAGATGTTGACGCGAGCGCACCTAACTTGTCCCCTCCCCCTCCCCCTCCTCCTCCTCCTCCTCCTCCTCCTCCTCCTCCTTCTCATCCTCCTCCTCCTCCTCCTCCTCCTCCTCCTCCTCCCTCTCCTTCTTCTTCTCCTCCTCCTCCTCCTTCTCCTCCTCCTCCTCCTCCTCCTCAGTCTCCTCCACTTGCATCCTTGTCCCTTCGGCCCCTCCTCGGCCGCTTTTGCTGGCCGCGCCCCGCCCGCAGAGTGTCGACATGGCCTTCCAAGGCCCTTGCCTCCTCATCCTGCGTCCTTGTTATGCGGGTGGACTGCAGGGTGCGGATGTCGCCACCTATCATCGAGCGCGCGTTGCTACTCGCAGAGTGCTTGCTCGCAAACGTCCAGAAAGAAAACAAATCTTCCTTTTTCCGCATACAAAAAACGGCATCAACATAACCTTTCGGGGTTCCGCGCTGATTTTTTGGGATGCGCGTTGTGTTCCACCCCCCCCCCCGCGGCGCCTGCAGCGCCGCCGCTGGCGCGCTCCGCGCGCCAGGGAGGGCCCAGCGCCAATAAAGCCGCACGGAGCGTCAACAGTTCATGTTTATGCCGTTGTGTGTTCCCCGATCAGTGCTTGCACTAAAGGGGTCTTGGCGGAAATTGAAAGATTTGGCGAAAGTGTCCCGCCGATGGTGGTGGCCGGCTGGGTTCCCAGGTTCTCGGTTCTGTGTTCCCGGTTCCGGGTTCCCGGGTTCTTGGTTATTGGTTTTTGGCCGATTTCGGTGGGTTCCGGGTTCCCGGGTTCCTGGTCGATCTCTTTTATCGAAAACCTCCCATGTATGTTGTGTTTTTTCTCTCAGGCGTAAGTTCTCCTATCTATGGAACGCATCGTGAGTCCCACGCGTCGGCTCCAGGCCCTTTGCGAGCAGCTCCTCTGCGAGCAGCGGAGGGCGCTTGCCTCTCCCAACTGTAGGAGCCGCGGCGGCGACCGGCTGGGCTCCTCGCTGGCCACACCCGCGGTGGCCCCGGGCCCAGGCCCGCCGGCGCGCTCTCCGAGGGGGATGCACTGGCGATGCGGCTCGAGGTGGAGATGGAGGGTTTCTCCGAAGGGCTTATAAGCGACCCGTCCTCCTCCTCCTCCTCCTCCTCCTCCTCGCCCTCCTCCTCCTCCTCCCTCCTCCTCCCTCCTCCTTCTCCTCCTTCTCCTCCTCCTTCTCCTCCTCCTCGTCCTCCTCCTCCTCCTCTATCTCCTCCTCGCCCTCCTCCTCCTCCTCCTTCTCCTCCTCCTCGGGTCGCCTACGGCCCCGGGGGAAACCGTGCAGGTGGAGTGAGGTTTCAAGCAGTGGCGAGGCGTCCTGGCGTGCCCACCAAACAAAGTTCTAAGAACTTTTAGTGGTCCCCACGCAATAGTCTTAGACTTAGAGCCTGTCTGGCTGGGATTGCCCTGTTTTAGCACATCGGCATTCTGTTCTGAGAACATGGTTTTTTGTTATAAGAACATGCTATGGCTCTAAAAACATGCCGTGGTAGGCCGATGGGAATGCTGGGACGGTCGGTTCCTGCTTAACGTCTCCACGCCGGCATCGCCGCGGCACTGCCGGCGTCGCCGATGCATCGGCGATTTCGGTGGCAGATCACGGGAGCCTGGCATACCCTCTTCATGTCGTCTTCAGCGCCGACAAGCGTCAATCAGCGTCGGGGAGTCGATGAAAGAGCGCCGATTTAGCGTCGATTGGCGCCGATGTAGAGTCGGTCAGCGTCGACTAGCGATGATTAGCGTCGATTCGCAAGAGCCGACAAGATGCTACACGAGGCTCCCATGAGTTGCCAACGAAGGATGCACCGGCGATGTGGCTCGATGTGGAGCCAGGTTTCCTCCACGCCGACATCGCCGAGGCATAGCCGACGACGCCGATGCGTCGGCGATGCGGTGCAATCCTCTGGTTCCATTCAGTCGGACCCCATGTAGGATCACCCAACGCGTTTCATTACTCGCAAAGTGGATACTCGCAAAGTCCAGAAAAAACATGTCTGCATCGATGTGATGCATCGTAAACCTCCCATGGCGGATCCAGACCATTTGCGAGCAATTATTCTGCGAGTCGTGGAACGCGCCTGTCTACCCAGACATGCGACGCCCTGATCTTGGGGGCACCCAGATCATGCGCGACCGAAAATTTTCGGTCGCGACCGCACTGGTCGGTCGTTTCAGTTTGCCGAGAATTTTTCGGGAACCGTTACCGGGCGCGCCCGGGCGCGACCGGTCGCCGGTTTCGGTCGCGACCGGGCGCGCCCGGGCGCGACCGTCAGATGTGACAAGCGCGTTTGTCAGATCGGCTGCGTGGTTATATGCTATCCTACGCTATGCTATGGTATGATATGATCGTGTTTGTCAGGTGACGCTCTGGGAAGCTATGATATGGTATGCTATGGAGCTTCATCATATCATAAGAGGGTTTCTAGAGTTATTGTTATATACAGGAGTATGCCATGTTTTAGTTTATCATGATATGGTATGGTATGCCATGATGTTCACTGGTGATATAACATTGATATGGTTTGGCATGCTATGCTATGCTATGGCATGTCACTATATGGTGTTTATGCAAAGAGACGGTGTGCTATGGCATGATAGGCTGTGCAATTCTATGATATGATATGCTGTGTTAGGCTATGCATCGGTATGTTATCCTATGTTTTGCTATGTTACGATTGCTCACCATTTTCCCTCCCTCGTCTCTGCCTACTCATCCTGCTGTCCGTCCTCAGCATCATTGCGTTCATTATCCTCCAGTCCCTTCTCCTTTCCCGCTCTCACTCCTCAGCAGAAGTGGGTCATTTATCCTCCTTCTTCTCCCTCCTCCCCCTGACCTCCATGTAGTTATCCTGGTGTGTTGTTTACTTCTTCGTTCCTTCCTTTCTATGGTTCTCCGTCTGTTTATTCCTCCTCCCCCCCCTCATCATCCACCTCTTACCGAGAGCTTCCTCGGGCAGCCTGTTTGGCTCAAGCGCCATGGCGCGCGAGGGGCAAAGCACCCACGTCTCGTGCCTGCACATCGAGCATGGGGTGACGGGCCCACCAGGGCTTGGCATCCCATGGACGGTCGTCGAGATCAACGACGTCCACCCTGGGCTTCCCTTGACGTCGAAGACGAGGAAGCCGCGGAGGGGCTTCCTGGAGCCCCTCCTGCGGATGGCGGGGCCGACCCGATGGGAGGGTTGCCCCGACGCCATCGCCGTCACCACGCGGAATCTCCAGGGGGGCCCTTGGCCCCCCTGTTGGACCGTGGACGCGGGGTGGACGCCGAGCCAGCCAGGCGCCCTCCTGCTGACCCACGTGCCGCAGGAGGGCATCTGCATGACCTGGCACGAGGAGGGGGAGGAGCGCCTCCTGTGGTACAGGAGGATCGAGGCCTTGAAGTACCGCCACTACTACTTCAGGCAGTGACGGTGGCGCGGGAAACAAAACATCATCCATCATCCCCCACCATGCCATTATCATTTTCCTTCTTATTTTCGAGTCCCGTTCCTGTCGTGGCCCCTCCTCCTCCTTACGTTCGGTCTCGTCCTCGTCATCCTGCTGTTCCTTCTCCTCCTACCCCTCCTCCTGCGATCTTGTGTGGGGATTGACTGCGTTCATGAAAGGGTGGATGACGTTGCGCGATTGACGTCGGCAGCCATTTTGGCATTAGCGCTGCGGCCGAGCGGCCGCCGTCGCCGCCCGCCGCTCCACCATGGAGCCGACGCCGTCGCCGCGGGCCAGCCCGCGGCCCAGCCCGCGGCCCAGCCCGCGGCCCCCGATCAGGCGCCCGAGCTGGGGCTTGACTGGCAACCTCACCCAGAGCCTCCTGCAACTCGTGAAGGATGTGGGCGCCCGCAAAGCCTTCGACTTGGGGCTCTACCACAGCCTTACCAAAGATAAGGCTGCGCACGGCCCGTCGTTGGCCCTGAACCCAGAGCTGGTGGGCGGGGGGGTCACGGGAATCCAATGTAACACCAGATTTCTGCAGTTTCCCATTCATGATAATCCTCCTCGTCGTCCTTAGCAGCACCCCTTCTCCCCCCCCCCCCCCCCCCCCCCTGTGTCTATCATCCTCCTCCTCCTCCTGTTCCTCCTCCCCCTCACCCCCCCCCCCCCCCCCCCTCCCCCCCCCCCCCCCCTACCCCCCCCCCCCCCCCGACACCTCATCATGATTTTCCTTCTCAATCGCCTCATGGTCGTCCTCCTCCCTCTCCTTTTCCTCCTCGCCCTCCTCCTCCTCCTCCTCCTCCTCCTCCTCCATTTCGCTTATCGTCCAAGGCGCCCGTCCGACCCCCCTCCCAACACAGGTGGAGGTGCTGCTCCGCCACGCTCCCGAGGCGGAGCCGCCGTGGACCCAGGTCCGCGACGCGTGCGTCGCCGTGCTGACGGAGTGCTCGGGGCTGCATGAATTGATGAAGGTGTAGTAGTAGGAAGAGGGGAAGGAGTAGGAGGATGAGGAAGTGGAGGAGAAGGAGTAGAAAAAGAAAAAAGGTGGAGGAAAAGGAGTAGGAGGATGACGAGGACAATCGATCATGAGAGGAAGGGGTGGCGATGCGGAAAGTGAGGGGATGGTGGAAAAGGAGAGGAGGTGTACGAGGAGGAGGAGAAAGAGGAACATGAGGCATATGAAGAGGTGGGCGGGGGGCAGAGGAGAAGGGAGAGGAGGAGGACGAGCGGGAAGAATGTCAGGATGGACAGACATCGGTCTGACGTCAGACCGACGTCAGACCGATGTCAGGTAGTCTGGCGTCGGTCTGACGTCTGTCTGACGTCAGACCGACGTCAGGCTGACGTCAGACCGTCGTCTGTCTGGCGCCAGTCTGGCGCCGCCGTCCCTGCCGAGGTTCCCGCGCTCCTCCAAGGAGCCCAGCGGCACCCCTGAGATGCGCGGAGGGAGCCTGGGCGACAAGCTGAGCTGCATCTACAAGCACTTGCGTCGCATCCGCGACAATGGTGTACGACGGCGCCAGGCTCAGGGACGACGGCGGCGCTGACGACGACGATTGAGAGGACAGGAGCAGGAGAGGAGGAGGAGGAGGAGGAGGAGGAGGAGGAGGAGGAGGAGGAGAATGAGAGCTAGAGAAGGAGAGGGAGGAGGAGGAGGAGCGAACGAGAGCTAGAGAAGGAGGATGAGGAGCAGGAGGAGGAGGATCAATAACATCAGGAGGAGCCGCATTATGAGGACAGCCCTGGTCTTCATCCTCCTGTTCCTCCCCCTCCTCCTCCTCCTCCTCCTCCTCCTCCTCTCCTTCTCCCCCCTCCTCTGCATCCCCCCCCCCTGTTTCCCCCCTCCCCCTCCTCCTCCGCCCCTCATTATCCCCCCCCTCCCTCTCCGCCTCATCATCCCCTCCACCCGCCTCATCCTCCTCGCTTCCCAACCTTATCATTCCTTCTCTCTGCGCCGACGGGCGTCATTCTGACGTCGGTCTGACGCAGGTATGACGTCAGTCTGACGTCGGTCTGACGTCAGGAATGACGTCAGTCGGACGTCGGTCCGACGTCAGGAATGACGTCAGACATGACGTCGATCTGACGTAAGCCCCACGTTGGCCTGACGTCAGTATGACGTCAGGCTGACGTCAGGATTACGTCAATCTGACGTCAGGGCTACGCCAGTCTGACGCCAGGTCTGGCGTCGGGTCTGACGTCAGGGTGACGTCAGTCTGACGTCAGTCTGACGTTTGTCTGACGTCAGTCTGACGTCAACCTGACGTCGGTATGACGTCAGTCTGACGTCGGATATGACGTCGGGTCGAGTGTCGGTATGACGTCGGTATTACGTGGGTCTGAGGTCAGACTGACGTCAGCCTGACGTCTGTCTGATCTTGTGTCAGACTGACGTCGGTCTGACGTCCGACTGGCGTCAGCATGGCGGCATGCCTCCCTGCCGCCCCGCAGGCTCTCTCGCAACGCAGTGACGAAGAGCAAGACACGCTGTGGTACTACCTGCACTTGATGGGCGTGCAACGTGACCAACCACGCGCGCGGAGGCTTTGGCCTGCCCAATCCTTTT